AATTCCAAAGTTCTTCAGAGAGATTTTCTATATATTCTTTTTACATGTTGTCTTCCTGTTAGATCATGAACTCCTTGAGAATAAGGGCTGTTTTCTGCCTTTGTTTGTATTCCTAGTGCTTAACACAGTGCCTGTCACATAGTAGGCGCCTAATAAATGCTTGTAGACTGATTTTGTATTCATTAGCTTAACAGTTTAGAAGAATGTATTTAATGAACAGTGAGATGTTACTGAAGTGGAGGTAAGGATTCATTATGTTCCAGAACTTATATTACAATGGCATATCCCTTTTTAGAACAGGGTCACTTCCATTTCATGAAGCACCAGAGAAGGATTTGAACTGTCCGTATTGTATATTTTATTTTGGTTACCAATTAGTGCTGTTTTTGATACTTAGATGTTATAGTAAAAAAAAAAATTGAGAGAGTTCAGATTTAGGTGTCCATGAAACTCAAGTATTCAACTTAATTATAATTTCCAGAAATTTAGATCTTTGTGTGTGTGCGTACATACGTGCTTGCACGTTTTAAGTTTTCTTAGAGCTTAGTAAATGAAATGGTGCAAAACTTATCATTTTTAGACACCTTGTGGTAAATATCCTGGCCATCTTGACATTGACCTTCTTTGACCTTCTCCTCTGTTTATTCAGATACTCTTCATAGTTGGTTCCAGGTCTAATAATCTTGATTCCCCTAACATTTTGGGAATTTTTGAAACTTATCTTTAGATGTAGGCCTGTTCTAGCACATACTCTTGGTGCAGTTCAGCCTTCAACCCTAAACTTGGCCAGGATCAAATTCATACCTTCAAATCATTCTCAAAAGTGACATCTTTCTGGAGCCCAACTTACGGAGGCTAGCCTAAAGCCAATGAAAACCCCTTTAGATCCATCATATACATTGTACTTGTATTTATAGGAACAGGGAGAGGAGAGCAGGGCATCTTACTAGGCATTCACTTAATTTAACACTTCATGGATCTGTTTTTATCCATGTGCACTATGAGTTTCTGAGCTGAAAAAAAGTCACTGGCAGGGGGGCGGGAATGGTAGTTGGTGGTTTCGTAGTTATCCTAGGGGCTTCTTATTCCTTAAAAAGCTTCACTGAGAATGTTGAGGCTCTGCTTTGGGCCTCTGTAGAAAAAAGATGCTGCAGCTTAAAGGTGTTTCATTCAAGTTGGAACTGCCCGGCCCCCTGGCCATGTGGAAACTTGCTACTATGAATGACCCCTGGAAGTGCACTGGCAGGAAGCTGGCCTGCCAAAGTCTGATTCGAACTGTCCTGTGAACCAGGGGTTCAACGGCCAAATTCTTCGTCCCATGAGCACCCACTCTGTATCCCTGGTAGATAAGAGAAGTGGTGGTTCAGAGTTGAGTTGGAGTTATTGACTGCTACTGGGTTAAACTGTAAGGAACGCTGGGAAGATGCAGGGGACCCACCTTTGGTAGCTATCCTACCTAGTGGCTGCCAGCCCCATCAACTATGGAAGACCTCCCCTCCAAATTGTCTTTTATGGAGACTTCTGCTTTTTTCATTCTGGGCTTTTCTGATCTTTCAAGTGGGAAATTCAAGTGGGAGAAATTTGGATTTTTGGACTTGGAACAGTCATCTTCTAGATAGGATGCAGCCAAAGCAGCTCTGAGGAAGAACTATAGCCAAGAAGTTCCCAGCTAGTGCCACTGAGAAACCTGAGGATGAAGAAATAGATCCATTTGATGTGGATGCAGGGTGAGAATTCTCAAATCCTAGCAGGCTTGTGGTCAGTGCCAGGATAACTAGACAGTGAGGAGGAAGAATCAGAAGATGAGGAAGGAGGATTTATGAAAGAGAGGAAGGGAGGCAGCAGTGACAATAAAAGTCCTAGTGAAAAGAGTGGAATGGTATTGACTACCATTGTGAGACAGGGTTTGGAAAGGAATGAAAAGACAGTGAGACTAACTAATGCTCAAAAATATTTTCCAAAATGGGGTGACAAACCCTGACATAGACAACTTAAGAACCATTGGTCTGCCTAAAAGCCATGGACCAAAAAAAAAAAAAAATTTTTTTTTTTGAGAACCCAGGATTGCCTCAGCACCATAAGGTTTTAGGATTAAATACATGTAACATGGATGATTGGCTACAAATGACCAGCTAGCTGTAACTCTGACTTTTTAAGAAGAGCCCTGTTTTGTTTAAAAGCCCACTCTGGCATTCTGGCTGGTGAGTGTGACCTATTCCAGCTCTTTAACAAACCCCATCTTTATTGCCTGCCAAACAATTTCGGGATTTCTTAGAATGCCCTTTCCCATCCACTGCCTGTTGAAATTCTTCATAACATTAAAGGCCTAGTTAAAATGACATCTCTGGTAAGTCTACTCTGAATTCTCCCTCCTTTGAATTTTCTTATTTATCAGTGTACTTTGTATTATAATTATATAATACTCATTTAAGCTCCTAGGGCAGGAACTAAATCTTCTCTTGTTTCTCAGAGCATGATACAGCACTAACTGCATAGTAGGTGCATATAAATAATAGCTGAATTTGAAAAAGAAAGTAGTGAGTTCTTCACCACTGAAAATGTTGAGGCTAGATGAGTGTGTCAAGCATCATGTACAATGAATTCCTGCATAGACTAAATCCTGTGATTTTAAGTAAACCCAGTAGCAGAAGGACTCTTAAATACTGTTGCCATGACCTGGTATATAGAATGCAGTAATAACATCTCACATTTGTTTAGTGCAGATGTCACTGCCTGCACTTTACAAATGAGGAAAACAAACTTCAGTAGGGTGTGGAAAAAGCTCCCCTTCACAGCTGGGGTCTGGGCTAGGATATGAGCCAGACATTTTACTCCAAATTCACGGCTAACTATTCTACTATATCAAAATTGAACCAAAATGCCTCAGAAGAGAACAAGTATTTCACACATGTAAAATGTTTTCTGCAATTTAAATCGCTCATTTGAATATAGAGGCTCTCTCTCCACTCAGACATGACCAGACTCTTTGCCATAGGAGAATCCAATGCCAAAATCCTGAATCACGCTAAAAAAGTAATGAAACTAAAGATGAGGAGAGATACTGCATCTTCACCACAAGAACCAAATACAGAAATAATAGCCAGAGAACCAGTCATCAGGAGAGTCTTTTTCACATGTGGACTGATCAAAGAAAAGGAACATTTACTTGTATACTTCTTCCTGTGATACATTAGGATTTAATTTTTTTGTTTTTGTTTTTGGCTAGGCAATAGGGTTAAGTGACTTGCCCAGGGTTACACAGCTAGTAAGTGTTATATATCTGAGGTCAGATTGGAACTCAGGTCCTCCTGAATCCAGGGCCAGTGCTCTATCCACTGCGCCATCTAGCTGCCCCAGGATTTGATTTTTTAAAAATTAATTAGAACAAGACTGAATATCTGCTATGATTCTGGGTACTGCAAGGGGGTAAATGACACATTAGTCACAAAAAGTTAAGTATAGGAAGAGCCTGAGAAATTACACCCCTCCAAAAACAAGCATCTGATCAAAAGTAGTTTCTTGTATTCCTCCCTAAAATTGCTTTCTGACTCTCTCCTTTCTGTTTCTGATGCATCCAGCCACAGGGGTTCCAGAGAGCTTATTTCAATCATTGTAGAGATGACCTGGGCCAATACAGTAGGTCCAGAAATGGGGGTGGAAATTCTACATAATGCCCAGAAGTTGGTAATTCAAAACCTTAGGTGGGACTGTGAGACTGTATTTTCTCCCTCCTAGTAATTATTACCACCCCCAAGTATGTATCTTTCTTATGTCCCGTTCCGATTGTCAACTAATACCTACAACAACCTATATCTTATCAGAATTTTAAAAGGGTTTACACTTTGCTACCCTCCATTTTTATTGTTTCTTTTTGGAAGTTTTTTTTTTGGCTGTCCCCTTCTGCATCTCTGCCTGCTCTTTAGGGTTAGTGCCAAGCATCCCTTTCCTATTTTTGCATCCTTCAGAGAATCAGTTAAAAGATATAGAATACCACCTCTCAAAAACTGGAGATTTTTAGATTATTCTAAGTGTTTATTGAATTGAAACTGAATGAATGTGACAGCCCAACAAGGTTCTGGGGAGGCTATGGGTTGTATTGATTTGTCCTAATCATATAGGAGGGCTTTTTTTTTTTTTGATGTCCAGCTCTTAGGAACACCTAGAAGTGTGCTTCTGTAGAAAAAATGCTGGGTTTGCCATTAAATATTCCTCGCTACCAGTACTATCAATCTCAGTATTGGCATTTATAGCCATTTCAAGCCTGTCATTCCATATGGATTTATTAAACACCTACTATATGTAGCCACTATTTATGCTAGGCTCTGGTGATACAAATATAAACAGCATATACTTTTTCATTGTTCAGAGACTACATATTGACACACAGTGCTTTCCCTCTTTTAATTATATTTGTCCTGTATATGTTTGTTTGAATGTTATCTCCACTCCATTAGATTCTGAGTCCCTTGATGGCAGAGAACGTCCTCTTTTTGTGTCCCTGTGCTTAAGCACAGTGCCTGGCACATAAGTAGTTACTTAATAAATGTTTATTGAATGAATACAAAATAAATACAAGATAGTTAAATACAGTGTTTTGGAAGATCAAGAAAGACTTCAGGGAGATGGTACTTTGTTCTGCAACAGGATAAAACAACAAATAGATGCTGGATGTGGGAATCATAAAGACCCGAGTTCTAATCCAGCCCCAGATACTCACTAAATGTTTGGCCCTGGGCAAGTCACTTTAACCTCTCAGCTTTCCCCTATCAGTTTGGCTGTATTGTAAAGTACATGGAAGAGGGGTTATGTAGAATAAGGTAAGCTGGGGCTAAATAGTGAAGAGCTTTGTCTAGTACAGTAGGAAGCCCTATTCTCATGTCCTGGCATAAATTGTTCTTAAACTAACATCTTCTAATGTATCATAGAACACATACATATATCACTCTGTTGTAGCTTTTCTGACCAACTGCCTTGTCATGTTTTAATCTTTTTTCCTCTAGGGAAAAGTTAAAAATTGGATGTTGTCAGCTGGCCCAGATGGAATTCACTATGCAGCAGTGCAATGCCTCTGTCTATATGGAAGCCAAAAATCGGGGGTGGTCTGAAGACATGCTCAACTACAGGACTTGTTAAATGTTTTCTTCCTGAATCCTTTATTTATGAGTTGGACTAGTTGAAATAACAGTATAATGTCGTTTTTGTTTTGTTGTGGAGTCTGCTTTTGAGCCAAACCCAAAACTGGACCAAGAAGGGTCCTCAGGTTTTCATATTTGACTGCCTTTTCCTGAAACAGCCGAGACTTGACGAAAGTTTAGTGCTTACGTCCTGGGACAGATGCTACTGTGTAGGCTCAGTTCTTCTGGAGCTACCAGCATCCCCTACCCTATCCCTAGATTACACAGATGGAATAGTGGTGGCTTTTCAGCAGTCATCTCAGTCTGAACTTGCCCTAAGTCGGCTTACGTTGTCATAAATATATACTTTTAGTTCAGTCAGACACAGGACCAGGCATACAAAACCCAGTCCCAACATGGCCACATCCCACAAACTGAACTTAAGCCCCCAGGACTGTTTGGGCTAGGTTTACCCTGCAGGCCAGGGAACTAATACACATTTTGATGTAGTCTTTAACATGCAGATTCTTGGTTAAGACAAAAAGCATTTATTTTGGGGTCATTCTGCTTTCAGTTCCTACCCCAAGCAGTGAAGTTGAGCTTCAACTCTTAACTCTACCTCTTCCAATCTTCAGTTCTTGCATCCTTTATTTCTAGAAGAGGGTTTGTATTTTCCCCTGAAATGCAAGTCTGCCCTAGTTTATTGTTTTAGCAGTGTTAGCTCTTGGCTGAAACTCAACATCTAGTCTTCTGAATTATTCATTTGTACAATGAATTGGAAATGTATTCTAACATTTGGTAACAAATCCAACTTAGGCATTCTATTCCAAATACGTATATGTCTTCTTTATTTTAGAAAAATTAAATAAATTTTTTTTTGGTAAATTTAAATGTTTCTTGCTTTACTTTAAAACTTGTATAAAGGACAGGAAGGGACCTTAAGTTGCTAGTTAGGGTAACATTTTCAAATATAAAAACAGGACTTGTAAATGTTTCCACTCCAAATACCCAGTTTTGCCATAGCTTTAAAAGCATCTTAATTTGGTTCCTCGGTTCGTGTCTTTAATGGAAGTGGCTAAAACTGAGCTTTTACTTTGACAGTTTTCATTAGTTTCAAAATACTTAAAACCTATGCACACCTAAACATACATAACCAGGATAGTTGTCTAAGGTCCATTCCAGGAACATGGAGCAGTCAGAAGACATGAGGCTACTGTATCACAATCATAGGCAATCTGATAAAATCTGAATACTAGTGTAATATGGATTTGAATCCTAGCTTTGTTACCACCTGTGTAATGTTGGGCAGCTCACTTAAATGTTCTTTCCAGTTAGGATCTTTTTCATCTCTAAATGCTATGAATGAAAGGATTTGGAGTTAAAAGGGACTTAATTTCATCTAATCCAATTTCTTCATTTTGTAGGTTTAAAGACATTGAAACAAATTCCCTTTGCTTTTGTCAAGTCACAGCTAGATGAGAATTGAGGTTGTCATTCCAGAATTAGGGATGCCTACTACCCTCTCCATTCTCAGATGAAATAGCATAGATGCCTGTCCTAAACATGAATTGGGAAGGGGAGAGATACAAAGTTTCCTTATACGTTTATCACGTTTTACCTTCCTCATTCTTCGTAAGCATTCATCAGAAACTAAGGAAATAATACACAAACAACAGTGTTCTGATATTAATCCCATGGTACAAGGAATTCCTGCGAGGTATCTTTAATGTGTTTGCATCAGCAGTAAAGCATTAGAAAGTGCCAATTTTGGCACCTTAAGTTAGATGTGCAGCACTACACATTAGACACCAAGTATTCCAAGTTTATCCATATGAACAAAAACATAGTTCAGCTTGAGGTTGTTTTCAAAAACCTAGTAGAGTGTGCATTAAATATTTCATGAGCAAGGGCTGCCATTTTGGATTAATTGTACTGTTCAAGATGAACGATTTATTTTGAAAAGAAAACATTTCACTATCTTTCACTTAGTTTAAATGAGTCTTGTACAAAACACACCCTCCTCAACCCAAGTCAAAATACTTAAAAGCCAGAATTATTTTCACCTATTGTAATCACAGCTATGTTACTGTTCAGAACCCTACTCAAATAATGAAAGTGTTGTATACAAAAACAGTATTGCAGCTGAGGCCAAAGCTTAGAAGTTGGCATTCTAGGAGTCGAAGGGAAGCCTCCCTCTCAGCACATTCTAAGACTCTCCCTCTGCTTCAATAATTTGAATCTGCCACTTTTCACATCAACAGATAAAAGTACTCTGCTGAGAATATAAAAATTTTTTTATAAAAAGGCAATCATAAAAGATTAAATTTTGGTAGGCATGTCAGCTTTCTTATTAAAAAAAAAATAGCCACTGCAGTATATTTAAATAAAGAATTTTTTGTTAAGACTGTTCCAGTTACTGAAAAGGGGCCTGAAAAAAATTAACTGCTGACATTCCAATACCTTACCCCCTCTCTTGCCCCCATAAAACACATTCAAAGGAGAAAGTCATTTCATGTGCAAATTGGCAAAACAAATGTGGAAGAGAGGGAAACTCTTGAAATGATATGCCCAATCAATTCTTAGTTTATTTTTTTTTCTTACAATGTCAACTTCCAAAAAGATAAAGTAACCAAAAAAAAAATTCTAAAAATACACAAAACAAACCTTCATGTTGGCATTCTTTTCAAATAAACACAAAAAATTATGTACAGCACATATTATAGTATGCAATATGCAAAAGCTTTTTGTTGCTGTTAGCAACTTCTCTATACCCTCCCCCACCCCCACCCCCACCCTATTCACAACTGTACCTCTACTAAACACAATTACATCACTAAGCCTGTTAGTTTGGAAAGGGCCTTAAATTTGTTAAAATTGGAAAATCCTGGTATAGGGGCTCCATTCATTTGACTCAGGGTTGTAGACTTCCACAGTAGTCAGGAATTCATTGCCATCAAATCCTCCCACCGCATAAATGGTCTTCCCCACGGCAACAATACCAGCGTTGCTCCTTGGTGAAGTCATGTTTCCCATTATCTTCCATTCGTTTCTAGCTGGATCATACATCTCTACACAACTGACAGCATGAGAACCATCAAAGCCTCCACCAACAAAAAGCTTTCCTAAAAGAGAAATGTCGGTAAGACTATCAACATGAGCAAATACAAAGGAGTAAAAGTACAGATGCCAGAGACACAGCAGACAAAATCTGAGGGGATGCCAGAATCTTAGCAATTCAAATGCATTACTGTTACTTAATGTATGTCAGACTACTGAAGTGATCAATTTAAATTTATGAATTTTAGAAGGGTGACAACGAAATTAAGATTTCAAAGCACCAAAAATTCCTGAGGAAATGTTAGACAGCTTGTTTAGTCTAAAATTGGTTAAATTACAATACAGAAACTGAATAGGAGGAAAAACAGGTTTAATTTACAGGTAGTAGGCCAGTGACTTAGAAAAACCACAGACAACTACTGGATGCTTAAGATCATATGATTTCATAAAATTCTCTTTCCCATTGGGGCTAGGCATATTAACTCCTGGATTATGTTGTATGTTCTTTGACATTCTAAATTATATTATTTTAAAAGTGAATTCTATCAATCCAAATCCCAAACAGTTCTTTATGACTGACACACAAAACTACAATAGACCTGCAACCTAAAGAGTTAACCGAAATATATGCATATATGTATGTATATATTTGGTTAGCTATTATATATACACATATATATTTATAGAGAGAGAGATATATAGATAATTCCAGTCCTTGGTGTACTCTCTACTCACAATCTAATACAACTAGAAAACTTGTATAAATAATTGAAACAAGGAATAAGGAAGTTTCCATTTTCTCTTCAACTTTGATGAAAAGGTTCTTATAATGACTCACATTACTCATACACATAAAATCAGGATATAAATTTTCTTGGACTGTGTTATTCATGCTATAAATTATTATGTTCTCACAAACTCATCCACTATGTTATAATGTAGTCTCCAGGTAGAGCTGTATCTTTTGCTCCTTTGTGATTATTATCATTATGATAAGTTACCTCTAGATAACTCTAAGATGAGTTATCTTTATTGTTTCTGTAAAGGATCTGTATCACTTTTTTTTCATTCTCAATTTCTGTAAAAAATGCTGAAATATGTATTCATTAATATTCCCATTCACAAGGCAAGCCATTTAAATTTGTTTTTCCAACACTTTGTTTATCTTCCTACTGACCTACTTTTACATCATGCCATTATATATATATTTTTAATGATTTTTCATTATCCATCAAAGTATATTATTTCTCAGTTTGTGCCTCTTCACAGTATTGGTATATTATTGCCTCATCTGAAATTATAATTTTGTTCCCTTTCTTCATTTTACTCTGCATGTGCTCATATGCCATTTAAAATCACAACTCACTTATGAAATTACTGTTATTCCAAAATGAGAAAGCATTAAGGTCTTTTTATAAGAGTTTCTCCTACAACAAAGAACTAATTGAATTAATGGCTCTTTAAAAATCTATCCTCTTCATATTGAAATTTGTAGTTACTTTAAGTATGTAATAGTGGAAGATACGGAAATTACATCACAAGAAATACAAAAAGAACTAAGGTTAACATATTTTAAATAAAGATTTTTTTTCAAATTTCTGGAGTATTCTTTTGTTTTTAAACTTGAATTATAAAAATTATCTGAATCTATGGAACTTTTGGAAGCTACCAAACTTAAGGTACCAAGTTTACTTGCATGTACATAACCACTAAGAGTTGGATGAGACCCAGCATCCAACCTGTGCACAAAAGGAAACTCCCTTATAACATGTAGTCAGAGTCAACAAAGAGTTTTTGCTTCTTTGAGAGTTGGTTATGGGAACTAGTTTCATTGTTATTTACCTATGATCACTGACATCTTAGTAGAAAGGAAAAATACTCACCATTATGAACAGCTACTCCAGCTCCCCGTCTAGCCACATTCATTGGTGCAATCAGTGTCCAGGTATTATTTTCTGGATTGTAGCGTTCTACTGTGTTCAAGCAATTCCAAGACTCGGCCCCTCCAATTATGTATAAATAACCACTAAGTTCACATACTGCTGATTGGTGTCTGCCTACAAAGCCAAGTGAAACTAGTGTTATTACCTAGTTACTCAAACTCTTAACATGCACACATTTACTACCCTGGGAATTTATTTCAAAGAAACCCAAGTAAACCTGCTTAAAATATGAATACCACCAACTTACGAATGTTAAGGGGAGCACAGCTGGTCCATGACTTTGTTACAGGATCAAACACATCACAATTTTTCAGTCCTTTCTGGCCATATGGATCAGAGCCACCAAGGATGTACAGTTTTCCATTCAAAGCACAGACCCCTATATTCCAGTTGTTGGGAGGGGAAGGAAAAAAAGCAATTATATGCTATTTTAAAATTCTTAATTATCCAAAACTTTCAAAGCCCTGGACAAAAAGAATGTACCTGCATTACATCGGTTGGTTCTCAATTCAGGAACTTGAGTCCAGTCATCTATGTTTGGATCATACATCTCTCCACAACTCAGGTCATCAGAGTGGCCATTTGAACCACCCACCACATAGAGCTGGCCCTAGGAAACGATAAGGAAATTATTTCAGTCTTATCTGTGTGAAAATTCAACTTAACTCAAGACTACAGAATTTCAATCAATTCCCAAATCACAAGGAAAGGCTAAACAAATAATGGTCTCTTCCATATATTGTGGGATCAACTCAATTACCATTAATACTGCCATTTGAAACCGGGCTCTTGGTGTTCTCATGGGAGCCAGGAAGGACCAATGATCTGTACGTGGATCATAGCATTCAACTGTGCGAAGACATTCCTCTCTGTTGTAGCCACCTGAAAGGA